CCCCCCCATGTAAATGTTAGCACTTACCTTAAATGATGTCTCTTTTTCCGATCTTCCTCTTCTTTCCCCATGTTTTCATCTGTCCCTCCAGCGGTGTGACGTCACTCCGATCCAGCGCTGACGTCCCTGTCTCTCCGATCCAGCGGTGTCTGCAGGCGGGTGCACGCGTCCATAGACTTACCTTGCGTCTCTGCTCGTCTCCCGGCCGAGAATCGGAACTGCGCATGCGCCCGCCCCAAGATCCTTTGCGGCCTTACGAGCAGTTCCTGATTCTCGGCGCGGGAACGAGCGGCGATAACGAGGTAAGTTTTAAATGATTTTAAGAGGTTTTTTTTTTTTTTTACACTTCTTGCCTATATCTACTGCATGCTAGCAGTAGATATAGGCAAAAACAACCGGAGGGTTTAGAACCCCTTTAATAAAGAGTTGTTTATGTTGTATGATGTTTGGATAGATAATAAAGCTGTGGCCTTGACCTTCCAAAATAGTTCATGATGTCTGGTATGTAATTTGGGGTGTAGGGATTGCAAATGAAGTGTAAGAAGCTGGGTTGGCATGTAAGAAAACTGATTCTCAGCAGTCCTGTGATTATTTTATGCATCAGTGTTCCTGCTCACATGAATTTGCATCAATCTGAGCTCATCTAAATACAAGTATAGGGGAATATATAAATGGTCTCTCCAAAGGACTCCCATTATGAGAACAGGAATTGATTAGCTGGATATCCTGATCACAGTTGTGAACCCCAATCGATTGAAAGCCATTTTGGCAGACTTTTCAGCAGGCAGATTTGAATAAGTCTTTTTTTTTTAATATCCGTTTAATGAAATATTTACTACAAGTAAACTTCCTATCTTGCTGGGCAAAAATAAGTCACTGGCTTTCTTTGTTGCCTTTTAAGTGCAATTATTCGAGCTGTATGGTGTGAATAGAACTGGGCAAGCACTGGTCACATAAATTATTGCCTGCCTCTTGCATCAGAGATAATAGCAGGTAAACTGAGTTTTTCAGGGATAAGGGCTGATGGGAATAAAAAAAAAAGAAATACTGGTAAAGGTAGTGTAGGGATGTGTCCCTAAACCTCTCCTGAATCTACAGTGTTTTTGTCGGGGCTCTACATGTAGTTACCATACCACTCCCTTACCAGACCACCAGACTGTGTAATTCAGAGTGCTGTGTCAGAGTTACATCATGTTTAGCCTTTACTTTTGTTAGTTAGGCAATCAATGCTCAACTTGTCATCAGTGGGCTGGGTTTGCCTGCAACGAAACTCCTGAGCATGCTCCCTGTGCTCTCTCTTCCTAGTCTGGAGTACAGCTCTAGGGGCTTAGGCCCTCTGGGCCTGCCATGTTTTTTGGCTTTTCTGAATTCTTGAAGGGAACCTCACCCATGCTGGCCTAAGTCAATGGGGACACTGGAGCACCACTTGAAACTCCACCGGTCCAAGCTGCAGTCATGACCTGGTACAGAGAAGACACAAGAACCTCTGTTGTAATGGAACTACTTATTCCTACTGTGAGAGGGAGTGAAGCTTGATATCCATGCAGGGACTGTCAGTCAAGAAACTTTGCTCTACGTTTGGTTATTCCAACCCTTTACCTCTCCTGTTCTGTAGTTTTAATAAATCTTTTAAAAAGGCATTCGAAGACCTTATCTGTCATGACTACAAAAAGTCAACTGCTGTGAGTACTGTGCCTGGGGACAAGATGATCTAAACTGGGAGTCCCACTTGAATCACACAAGGCCCAGCTGGGTGAAGTGTTACTAAGGTTCCATACTATCACGTTAGTGCGTAGCTGATTGGGGTGGGCCTAATGTACTGTTTCAGTTTGTTCCAAAGGCTGTGAAAGCATATAATATGTTAAACAGGTGGAGAGGATACGAGTACCAAGTTCAAAACAGAAGATAGTCAAATTAAGTGAAATGACATAGTTACCAGTAAATACAGTAAAATAGATCTAGGTATAATTACAATATATGTATAGATATCATTTTTTTTAAATTATTTTATTTTGTTACCTCTTTGGATTTGCGGTGCCAGTCTCTGCTTGACCCTCCTTTATCTTTCTTTTCTTCCTCAGATATACTAGCCTGTTTGGGAAATCCCCAAGGTCGACATTCATGGGGCAGGTTTACAGGCTTAGTCTCGCTTGTAGAAATGTCCTCGGTCAATGAACGGACTGATCTTTGTGTAAAAAGATTTTTCTTCATGGCTTTAACTCGAAGACTTTCCGTGGTGCCACTGTTACCATCAGAACAGCAACAGTCGGGCTTGTTCTCCACATTCCCATTATGGGATGAGTTTTGATCTTGAAATGGACTCGGAGATGCCCTTGTGCTTGAATGGGCATCACTGTGAGATTGACCTTCGACGTCTAATTTCCCCTTTTCTGGGGGCTGTATCCTCTCATCCAGCCTATTTAGCTTGGCCAGCACCTGAGACACCTCATCACGCACACCTGACAGAGACTCTAATTTCTTTTCAATTTCCCCAATCCTTCTAACTAGTTTTCTGACGCTGCTTTTTAGTTCTTCTTCTTCCACTGTCTCAGTCCGTGGACCCTTGGTTGGTTTGGTGTTAGATCTGTTGGCTACGTGTTCTGGAGAACTTTCATTGTCTGCTCGTGAAACTTGAGCAAGAGAACCACTACTGTTATAGCAGGAAGACTGCGGTATACCAGAAGACCCACAAAGGCTCATATCATCTAAGAATCGGAATATGTCACTTATATCATCACTTATAATTTCAGAGTCTGCCTCTGATTGGTTACGGGCTCTACCTTCCATAAAATGGCTGCAGCTAGAGGAGATATTGGATTCTTTTACCTTTTTTGTCTCTGACTGCTCTGTCTGGGTACCAACGCTTTCTGTCTTCTCAGTACTATACTGAGAAGAAGGTTGCTTAGTACTCTTGTCCCTGAACCTTCTTAGAGCCTCTTGCTTTTCCACATCTTGAGGCTCACAGATTTTTTTACCATTATTTTTCAATGCCAGGTCCGGTAAATAAGAATGATGTCGCTCGGGTACTGAAACAAAATTTGTTGTCTGCACCAAGCCAGTGCTAGGATAACACAGATTTTCTTCTTTTCGATTAAAAAATGAGCGTTCAAAATCTGGCACCTCCTCAGTGTTTAGACTCCAGCTTTTTACTGGCTTTCCTACAAGTGGTTTTGGTTTGCTTGTAAATCTCTTTTGCTCTTGCAGTCCAGACCCAGTTGTTGGACCAAAGTATGTGGATGCTTGAAGATCATCTAAGCTTTCATGTTTTGATCGGCGAAAGTCTTCAGAAGAAGAGTAAGCCGTATTAAGATAGTGAGAGCTGTAAGGCATCTCAAAACTGTGATTGAAGAAAACTGTCTTGGGACTTATCTTTCCTTCATTCTTTTTCATTGTGAGATTGGGGGGAATTCTAACCATGCTGTGGAAGTCTTCTTTAAAAACATTTCTTCTCTGTCCACTAGAGGCTGAAAGTCTAAAAGGTTCCTCACTGGGTGTAGGCGGCAGTGATTCTGGCTCAGATAATGGTTGACTAGGGAAATAGGTGCTTTGCATTTCACAAGACTGGGGAGTTACCATGCCATAAGAGTCCAAAGCCTGTAATCTATCAAGGGATCCAGCTCGCCCATTGCTTTCTTGTTTAACTCCAAGGAGAAAATTTGGTTCAGGGAGAAATGTATGACATCCCTCACATTCTTCTTTGTGACAACTGGAGGACCTGGTGATTGAGTAGCTTCGACTGGTATCCCTTTTTTGTGTTTCTTTGTGAGGAGCTATATCTGTCCCGGGGAAAACCTCATTATCGGACTCTATTGCCTCTTTCTCTTGAGTCTGCTGTTGAATTGGGATTTTTTCTTTGGCAGCTCCATCATTCATTTGGATCAGATTAAATATAGTGACTATATCAGCCGCCGCAATTATTTTTTTAGACTGTTGATTATCCGCAGCATTTCTCATTTTATCTCGGAAGAGACTTGCTGGAAAGCTTGGGTCTTGGCACGCCGTGTAATATAGGAGGCTGCGCAACTTTGCAAGTTCAGGTAGATCATAACGGGAACACAAAGACTTACAGAGTTCTTGGTATGAAACAGAGTTTTGTTTGGAGTCTAAATCCTCTAAGATTTTTACAAGAAGGAAAGAAGAGTCCTGAGCTTCTCCCATGACGATACAGTGTCCAAGCTCCTGCATGGAATAATATCAATACAATGTCTTACATTTAAGAAACATCGACAATAGGAAAGTTATAATACGACACTTAATATGCATTTCAAATATATACAGGTGAAACTAGAATAACTAGAATATCGTGCAAAAGTAATTGCAGTAGTTGCTGCAAAAGGTGCCCAAACCAAGTATTGAGTACATATGCATGCTCGTACTTTTCAGAGGTCCGATATTGTTCTATGTACAATCCTTGTTTTAATGATTGCATGTAATATTCTCATTTTTTGAGATTGTGGATTTGGGGTTCTTGGGGTTTTCATGAGCTGTAAGCCATAATCATCACAATTATGACAAATCACGGCTTGAACTATCTTGCTTTGCATGTAATGAGTCTATCTCATATGTTAGTTTCACCTTTTAAGTTGCATTAGTGAAATAAATGAACTTTGCACGATATTCTAATTATTCGAGTTTCACCTGTATATATGTGTCCCAAAGTACCTTTTAACTTAACACAGGCACACTTATACAGTTATAATTTGCTGTTTGCTTGTTAATGAAAAATCCCCAAGGAAGATTTTGTATGAGGGGGATTAGAGGACAAAAATATTACTTATCATTTGCTCAGTTCCCATTATACTATTATTCAAGGTCCTAAACACATGGGCATTGCTTAATCTCTGCGTATAAATGCTGGTGTGCAGAACATTTAACATAGCTTTGAGCAGCTATTGTAAAGCCTTTAAGCACCCTTCAGCTCCAGACTTGGAGTGCTGAATACAAATATTAAAGAATAAATGAAATAATAACAAAGTTTCCTCTTGTTTGCTTCTCAACTTCCCTCGACAAAATTTCCCATAGATGTACTTACCTAAAATAGCTAGCAGTCCATTATTTTCTAATGTGGTTTCCTGCAGTCAAACACACACAATGTCAGACTATAGGTAGGCCATGGCAGCAGGAACCCACAGAAGATACTGTATTCAGGTAAGTACAGCTCTGGGAAACTTTGTGCATTGGAATGAGGGGTCTTTTGTGGGGACATCATTGTTACCCTTTCAGTTTCCTTTGATGGGATGCTGACTGTAGCTTTAAACAAACTTGTAGCAGACTTTAGCAAGCGTCAAGCAGAGCTTTTCAAATGCATGTTAAAGCTGATACTCATTAGAATAGTGCTCACAAGCTTAGAATTAAAGCACAACTAAAGGCTCATGTATGACAGTTTAAGCAAATCCCAAATCCAGTCACTCTGTGATGCACAAGCTCATAAAGAAAATAAAATCATCCTTTACCTTTACTGACTAAGCCAAATTCTCCCTTATTTGTGCCTCACATTCTCCCCCCTCCCAGACACTCAGCTTGTGCTGAGAGGGTGTCAGCAACACAGCTAGTGAATCATCAAATAAAGATTCATTGACAACCATTGAAAGACTTAGACTTTGTCCAATTTGTCCGGGTGCCTCTGCTGACCTAACCTTCATTTTTTTGGAGCGTTTTCACGATACCCTCCAGACCAGATCAGACTCATATAGCACACCAGCTCCAGATCATCTGAACCTCTCCCCAGCAGGCATCAAGTGCAACCTCCTATGCGGGAACAGAAGTATTCCCTGCATGCCTCATTATACTGGATGGTTTGATTTGCCCTATGGAATGTCCTGCAGCCACATCTATGTTAGTATTAAATATTAAATTTCATACTATTATTTTATTTCCGCACTGCAAACTTTATGCACTTAGTCAGATCCCTCCTGACTGCATTGTGCCAAGTGTAAAGTATGGTGGAGGGGGGATTATGGTGTGGTGTTGTTTTTCAGGGGTTGGGCTTGGCCCCTTAGTTGCAGTAAAGGGAACTCTTAAGGCATCAGCATACCAAGACATTTTGGACAATTTCATGCTCCTAACTTTGTGGGAACAGTTTGGGGATGGTCCCTTCCTGTTCCAACATGACGGCGCACCAGTGCACAAAGCAAGGTCCATAAAGACATGGATGAGTGAGTTTGGGGTGGAGGAACTTGACTGGCCTGCAGAGTCCTGACCTCAACCCGATAGAACACCTTTGGGATGAATTAGAGTGGAGACTGCGAGCGAGGCCACCTCGTCCAACATCAGTACCTGAGCCCACAAATGCGCTTCTGGAAGAATAATCAAACATTCCCATAGACACACTCCTAAACCTTGTGGACGCCTTCCCAGAAGAGTTTAAGCTGTTATAGCTGAAAAAGGGTGGGCCCACTCACTATTGAACCCTGCGGACTAAGACTGGGATGCCATTAAAGTTTATGTGCTTGTAAAGGCAGGCATCCCAATACTTTTGGCAATATGGTGTATATGCATGTATAAGCATTGTTCTACTTTAACTAATATCCATGTGTTTAGAGCCTGCAGCCCTAAGCTTTGCATTTATGTCACAAGCCATCTTTGTTTGTCAAAAGAAGGTTTTCCACTTTATTTTAATGGTAACGTTTTCAACATATACAAATCAAGCTGTTGGCCCTAGCACAAAATTGTTAAATGATGGAAAAAAGTAGTTTTTTCTGTCTCCTGATTTGCCTTCATCCAATACCCATGAGTGGAGTTCTGAATGCAGTAGCTTATTTGCAAAAAACATGGAATAGAGATATTATTCAGTTTGCAGCCTTTTCCTAGAAAATGTCTAAACTGTAAAATATACAAATACTTCAAATGTGTAGACAAAGTAGACAACTCTTCTCATAATAAAAACATTTTGCATAACACAAATTCTTTTCATTTGAATACTTCATAAAAAATTAATACTTAAGAGTTGTTTTTACGCAGTGTTCACAGTCTGTGCATTTCTACTATTTATATCTCTCTAAATTGTTGAGTAAAGAGAGGTGTTAAAAGTAATCAAAACTACAAAATTGGAAACCTAATTAGCTGAAGAGGAAATATTAATTAAAAACGTTTGGCACCATGGTGAGCATGGAGAGCTACATCAGGTCTAGCCTCATTTGTTCCTAATGTTTTCTCAGCTGAATTCTGTTCCTGCTGCATTGATCTTAAAGCAGACCGAAACCTTTACAACAAAAATAACTATTCTCCACTCCCACCTCCGCTCTGACCTAAAAATGAGAAACCTCTGCTGGAATACTTAAAAAAAAAAAAAGATTGCTATTGAATGTGTCACAGATTATATAAGAAGAGCATTTAATAAACCTATAAATTGATAGCAGTGCTCACGCAAGCAATTGTAGCCCATGGTAACTTATTCATAACTAGGTAAATGTAAAAAGGTGGGGGTGGGGGGGTTGAGTATTTGGTATATTTTCTATGATAAATTAAAAGTACTTAATAACGATAGAGATTATAAAATAAAGCCTATTTGGGTCCAGCCTGATGTTGAGAATCTCCTGGTGCATTGATTTAATCAGCAGAATAAACACATTAAAGTGGTATGGGCAGCACAGTGGTGTAGTGGTTAGCGCTTAAGCCTTGCAGCACTGGGGGTCTCCAGTTCGAATCCTGGCCAGGTCACTATCTGCAGTAATTGTGTGGGTTTCCTCCAGGTACTCTGGTTTCCTTCCACACTCCTAAGACATGCTGGTAGGTAAGTTGGGCCTTGTGTGCTAGTAAACTGTGTGTGTCTCCACAAGGACAACAATGCAAGCAGCTGCCCTCCTCCCTTCTACCATCTTCAAGCTAGTAAATGGATGGCTGCTGAAGACTGTGCTTTCCCCTGTGATGTTGTACTGGACAGAAAGTTCAGGGAAGCCAAGCTAAGAAAATTGGAGCCAGCTATTTAAAAGTGCTTGGGCAAAAATGTAAAGAGATACTTTGTTGGGCAATGTATATTTGTTTGATCTGGATTCATTATTGGAAAACAAATGAGTGTTCAATATTACTTTAAATTCTAGTGTAGTAAAATGCTTGAGCTATGAATGGAGCCAAGAACCAGAAGTAATAAGTATTTACTTCCTCTGCTCCCCTGTGCTATCTAGGGGCCATAATGCTATATTACATTACATTTACCCTGATGAGATAGTATACTGAGAACATTTGTTTTTGCCTCTATTCGCACAGAACAAATGATCACTGAGATTCGCAGGGCGAATGGCTCTGCAAATTGTTTATAAATAGACCCTAAAAAGTACTAGCAAATGTGCTCAGGAAAGGATGGATGATTGGTAATCACGCACAGCAACACCCTCCTTTCTGATGTTTGGTCACCAGACAATACATGTCCCTAAAGGGTCAATGGGTTAGAACATTTGGTTACATCTGAAGAGGGGTAAATCACAATCTATGTATATGCACTGGTTTCCCAGAGGAGTCATTAAATCCAATTGACCAGAACCCAAGGTTATAAAAAGCACAGCTGCAGCGCAGGGTCCTACGGAAGGGAATACAAATTCCAGTGACGGTATATCAGCCACTAAACTGCCTATGTAACGTAAAATTCTGCACTCCAATTGTAACGCCAAGTTTACAATGTCTGCATTCTGCAGATGTACACATTACATTATATTCTGTCATCACTTAGGCAAGAGAAGAGAAGTTAAATAGAGAAATGGCCACGCGAGATCAAACTGCTAAAGCATATAGTGATAAGTGGGGTACTTCAGCGCTGACAAGGATACATTACTACCACTAGGATACATTGATTGCTAAATCCACCCATCCGAAGCATAAAGTCAAAGAGATTACAACTGCCTATGAGCAAAGAGACTCTCACAGCTCTAATGAGCGCTGGCTGGGGTTAGAGAGAAAGCAGGAGAGTAGCACTCACCAAAGGCATATATATAAGAAAAGAAAAACAATCAATGCAACCATGTGGTCATTAAAAATTATTATATGACTTGTCCTCAGCCTTGTAATCCACTACACAGCAGCTCTCGATACTAGGAGAGGGAAGGAAAGCAGTAGAGTCCATTTCCTCATGCTGCTGTGCGTGTGAGCTGGCAAGAAGCGCGCTGAGAATAGGAAGTACAGAGAACAGAGAAAAGACTTATCATTGTCAGGGCCGGATCTATTCTCTCTGCTGCCCC